GGGGGCACACACACCGCTGGCCCCCCCCCAGCGCCGCCCTCCTCACACCTCGCTCGGCCAAGGCGACCCCACCGCTGTCGCTGTCGCCGCCGTCGCCGCCGCCGCTGGTGATGCTGACACAATTTCGGGGGGTCGCCAGTGGGATTTGTTCGCTGAACCCCCCCGTCCCCGGCCCCCCCGGGCCCCCCGCCCTCTCCTCCTGCCCCCCCGGGGGTCCGCGGGGGTCCCCGCCGGGTCCCTTACGCTGTCGCTTTGGAAGGGATTTAGGAAATTGCTGCTCAGCTCGGCGTCGTCACGAGGGGTCCCGGGGGGGTTGCTCAGGGCCCCCAAATTACTGGGGGAGCTCTGGAGGAAATGGGGGGGAGAGAGGAGTTAGTGTGGAGGGGAGGTAATAAAGGGGGTGCCAATAAATGGGGGGTTCCCAGGGTATTTGGGGTGGGGGAGTTCCCACTACATGGGGTGACAATAAATGGGGTCCCAGTACCCGGGGGTCCCCTTTTTTATGGGGTGGAGGAGTCCCAGTATATGGGGGTGGGAGGAAATAAATGGGGTCCCAATAAATGAGGTCCCAATAAATGTGGACCCAATAAATGGGGTCCCAATAAATGAGGTCCCAATAAATGGGGTCCCAATAAATGGGGGGTTCCCAGGGTATTGGGGTGGGGGAGTTCCCACTACATGGAGGGGAAATAAGTGGAGACCCAGTAAATGGGGTCCCAATAAATGGTGTGGTGCCAGGACAAGGGGGAACCCAAATAAATGGGGTTTCAGCAAATGGGGTGCCAATAAATGGGGTCCCAATAAATGAGGTCCAAGTATATGGGGTGGGGGGAGGAAATAAATGGGGTTCCAATAAATGGGGTGGTGGAGCACATGGAGGAGCTCCAGTAAATGGGGTCTCATTTCATGGTGGGGGGGCAATAAATGGGGTCCCAAAAATTAGGAACCCCCCGTTTATGGGGTGGAGGAGTCCCAGTATATGGGGGGGAGAGGAAATAAATGGGGTCCCAGTAAATGGGGTGGTCCCAACACATGGGGGAACCCAAATAAATGGGATCCCAATAAATGGGGTGGTGCCAGCACATAGGGGAGCCCCAGTAAATGGGGTCTCATTTCATGGTGGGGGGCAACGAATAGGGTCCCAATAAATGGGGTGGTCCCAAGACATGGGGGAACCCAAATAAATGGGGTCCCAGTACATGGTGGGGGGCAATAAATAGGATCCCAATAAATGGGGTGCTCCCAGCACATGGGGGAACCCAAATAAATGAGATCCCAATATATGTGGGGGGTTCCCAGTAAATGGGAGTCCCAATATGCTGAAAATTCCCCATAAATGGAGGTCCCAGGATATGGGGGTAGCCCAATAAATGGGGTCCCAGCACCGTGGGGGTCTCAGGGCCCCCAACTCACCTTTGGCAGCCCATCCATGTCCCCGGAGCCTGCCAGGATGACAGCGGGGCATTAGTGACCCCCCCAAACTTTGTGTGTCCCTAATCCACGTGTGTCCCCCAAAATCCATGTGTCCTTCCCAAACTGTGTGTGTCCCCAAATCCCTGAGTGTGTCCCCAAATCCCTGAACGTGTCCCAAAATCCCTGCATGTCCCCAAATCCCTGCGTGTCCCCTCAATCCATTCCCCCCTCCCATCCATTTGCCCCTCCCGCTGCACGAGCTCCCATCCAGCTGCAGACGGAGCTCATATCCCACAGGATTTGGGATTTTGGGGTTCCTGGTGGGGGGGACAGAGGACCCCTGCTGTCCCCAGGGGGTGTCACCCACCTAAGGATCCGTTCATGTGGTGCGGCTCCATCGCGCTCATCCCGCCCATGGGCCCCTCGGGTCCGGGCCCCATCGGGAACTGGAAGGGAAAAAGGGGGGGTGAGGAATGTTGGGGGGACCCCCCCCTCACCCCAATCCCTGTCCCCAATCCCTGTCCCCCCATGCCGTCACTCACGTTGGGCCGGTTCCCCGCGGGTCCGATGGGGTTCATCATGGTGTACATGTTCTCACTGGAGTTGGTGGAGTCTGGGGGGGACAGCACGTGTGGGGGGCGTGAGCGTGGCCCTCCCAGATCCCACTGACACCCCCGGATCCCAATGACACTCCCGGATCCCATTCACATCCCCAAATCCCACTCACACCCCCCCAAATCCCACTCACACCCCCCCAAATCCCACTCCCACTCCACCCCATTCCCTCTCTCACCTCCGGGGCTGGGCAGGATGGGGGTTCCGGGGGGGCCACCGCCCCCAGGAGGGCCCTGGAAGGGAAAAGGAAAAAGGGAGGGGGTGGGTTTAGAGGTCACAGGGTCACTGCAGCCCCCCCAGCCCCAATCGTGCACCCCAATACTCACCACGTAATTCCCAGGGGATGAGGAGGAGTAGGCGATCTGGGGGGGACAAAGGAGGGGTCAGCACGGGGGGGGACACGGGGGCAGCACCCCTATAGGACCCCCCCCAGAATGTATTAACCCCCTCCCCCCCCCAAAAACCCCAAAACTTACAGAGTTGGCGTTGGGGTTGGGCCAGGGCCCGCGGCCACCAGGACCCCTGGAAAGGCAATGGGAACAGTGAGGGGGGGTCCTGCCTGTCCCGAGGGTCCCCCCACACTGAGGGGGCCATGGTGGGGGGCACGGGGGGGGTCTTACATGTTCATGGTGGGCATTCCAGGGCCGGCCAGCGAGCTGGGGGGTGGGCGCATCCCACTGCCATAGCTCTGCCAGGAAAGGGGGCGGGGGGGGGTCAGTGGGGCTGGGACACCCCTGGCACTGTCCCCACCCTGTACCCCTGTCCCCATCCCCATATCCCTGTCCCCATCCCGGTACCCTGTCCCCATCCCTGAATTCCCATTCCTTTACCCCTGTACCCCATCCCTGTATCCTTCTATCCCCATATCCCCATTCCTTTCCCCTTGCACCCATCCCCATTTCCCATATCCTCATCCCCCTGTCCCTGTAAACACTTCCAGCCCAGTATCCCAGCACCCCATTATCCCAGTATCCCATTACCCCAGCATCTTACCACCCCATTATCCCAGTATCCCATTACTCCAGTATCCCATCACCCCATTATCCCACTATCCCATTACTTCAGTATCCCATTATCCCACCACCCCAGTATCTCATTAATTATCCCAGTATTCCATTAATTATCCCAGTATCTCATTAATTATCCCAGTGTCCCATTAATTATCCCAGTACCTGTGGCCCCATCCCGGCCATGCCTCGGGGGGGGTTCATGCGCTGCATCGGGCCCCCCATACCAGGATGCCCTGCACAAATTGGGGAGGGGGAGGTGT